GTCCTATGAACTAAATCGCCATAGTTCAACAACAAGAGATAGTATGAATGGTATTGGGTTCTAATGATAGAAGAATGAAAGTATTTGGACAAGGATTGTCGGGAACCAATCCAACTGTCAAAATCATTGATATTCAAGATGTAATTATAAAGACTTTAAGCCTACCACAGAAGGTGAGTAGTGTATTCACCAACTCACTAGGTCGTATTGGGCTCTTAATTATTAACGTGACGTGCATGGTTTTCTGCCACTTCGTATGACTCGCGAGTGGTATCCTCTGTTCTCTGTCCTATTCCTGACGAAAGCAATCTGATGTCCACTTATATCCCTTTGGTATCTTCTGGCATCCTACTAGCTTCGTACTCTTTGTCTGTTCCCTTCTCGAAGTTCTCTCTGTTGACTATTTTAGTGAGGTGGTGTCTCTAGTCAAGTTATCGGTGCGAGAATGGGAATGTCTAGAGAATCTATGAGAATACTCAATCTATTTCTAGTACAAATTTTAACTTGAGATCCTTATTGAATCTTTCTATAATCACATAGGGTATACAAATTATATATAACTCGGATCTAATAGTCATTCGAATATGTGATACTACTCCAAATCCACATCCAGACAAGGAAAAGGAAGTGAAGCGAAACCAACATTCTAAGTCTATGAGATCTTTATATATATAACTCTAGGATGTATACACTTTGCCATTATAGACCGATCAGTAAGGGTCTTTTAATTCCCATATAATTATTTACAGTTATTGAAGATACTCCTATAGTATCTCTGTTTTGGGTTTGGTTCTTAGGTTTCTTGTTACTGTACACTTTTAGTATTGTTATTGGGTAGTATCTCAAAATACTCAGATAGTATTTTACTTTATGTTTTGTTCTAAAGACTCCTTTGGACCTAGTATTTGGTAAGTTTTAGGTTTGTCACAACACCACTATCATCCCCGAACACACGTTCACCATATCTCAAATAAATATAGTTGATCAGGCTATATTCATTCCAGATATGATTACATAACTGCCCAGTTTTGACTGTTGTGCCCAACAATTAAATACTTTTGTTATGTTCTAGTATGATACTGTATACTTTTAGTTAAGTATTTTAGTACTTAAAGGTATAAACTCTTGGTCAGAGTATTTTAATCCCATTGTATTTATAGTCTGTATATCTTTTATGGGTTGATATATTCAATTCACTATAAACAATGCTCTGATACCAATCTGTCACACCCCAAAACCAAGAACGGCGGAAACGTTCTGGGGCGGAGGACGTCATGTATATTATCACAACAATGCAAAGTAGTAAACAAGCAACAACATCATCCATTGCATTAATAGTATAATTTTAATTACAAGCGTGTTCTTTCATAGTATAAAACAACATAATGAATAATCAAAATAAAAGACGATTCTTGACTGCTCCGTCTTCACAAAACCTGGTCGTCATACCTGTCTATTGGTGACCTGAGAATACAAGTTATTTTGAAAGCGTAGATCAGCATAAAGCTGGTGAATTCATAAGTATTTAATGTCATTATTTATATAAGTATCAATGAAAAGGTTTGTAAGTAAAAGTGTAAACGTTTGAACTTCCTAGAAAATCCCATATTTCCTACTAGTATAAAAAGTAGTCTTCTACCAAGACCCGAATGAAAGTAAGTAAATAGTCTTCTAACGAGACTCACTGAAAGTAAGTAAGTAAGTAGTCTTCTCACGAGACCCGCTGTAAGTAAGTAGTCTTCTCACGAGACCCGCTGTAAGTAAGTAGTCTTCTCACGAGACCCGCTGAAAGTAAGTAATAATGTGATTGATGGTCCCCATACTAAAAGTTCTCCTTAGAAGAGATTCTGGAAATTAAAGGTGACTTCCGCAACGAATCGCTAGGTCGAAATCCACATTTATATTACGTAAACATATATATACCCAAAACTATACCTATAATAGCTTACTAGAAATATATGAACGTATACCTTTGCTACCCAAAGGTACTGAACTGACTGACTAGAACTTTTATGTCTATATATGTATACATAATATATAACTAATATTTAGACGACCTTCGGACAAATAACTGGATACCCTAAGTCCACAACCAAACAAGGAACAGGAAATAAGGCGGGTTAGCAGTCCTAAGTCCTTTAAACATTACTTATATAAGTATACATATATAGGCATGCTTTTAACAATTGTACTAGAAATAGTAAATAGTATCTCCTAACTATGCCTATTATAGTTACCTGTAAGGTATGTGAATAACCGAAAGTATGCCTTTACTACCCAAAGGTACTGAACTGATTGATAGAACTTTTATGTCTATATATGTATACATAATATATAACTAATATTTAGACGACCTTCGGACAAATAACTGGATACCCTAAGTCCACAACCAAACAAGGAACAGGAAATAAGGCGGGTTAGCAGTCCTAAGTCCTTAAACATTACTTATATAACTATACATATATAGGCATGCTTTAACAATATAAAAGTATAAAAGAAGTTTTGGTAAAACCCTTGAAAAGTTTAATAAATAAGAAATCGATGACTTGATGTCAGTTTATAAAATGATTCGAAAGCAGTTTGTTTGATAAGAACATTTTAAAGTGTAAGAAATCATTTAGAAGTAGTTTACTTGGTAAAACAGCTAAAAGTGTAGTAAATCTATAGTTTGATCGTTATTAATCACATGTGATTGATATGATAACTATCATGATTCAACTTGTATTCCCCCCCATAAAAGCATTTAAAAACATTTAAAAAGGTTAATTAAGGGGTATGAACTCACCTGTAGTGAGTGGATCGGATGGAAGTGTCGGACAAGTGCTAGGTGTCAAGTGAAGACTTGAACACACACAAAGATCCTAGTTAACATATAATGAAACACATATGTATCCAATTAGTCATTTAACAACTAATTAACCAAGTTAAGACACCCTAGGACATGGAAACACTTTGATTCAAGTGCTATAGGTACCGAAGGGTTGCATCTAAAGGTTGTATGGCATGGTATTGGAGTTTATGGCCCAAGGACAACTCCTTATGGACTTTACGGCCTAAGGTCAATTCCCCCATGAGTTTACGGTCGTAAACTCATGGTACTAAGTGTCATTGGGTGTTTTGAGGTCTTATAAGTCAAGATTGAGCATCCAATGATCAAGTTCAAGCCTTAGGAAGCATTAGGGGCACAATATCACCCCTTTGTAGAGTTTACGGCCTAAGGACCATTTCCTTATGAGTTTACGGCCGTAAACTCCATGTGGACATGTTTTCTTTGATGTTTAAGGTCTTTAACACTTCAAGGATGTGATCTAGGCTAGGTTCTAGGCATAAGGAAGGAAATTAGGGCAACATTGCACCCTTATAGGGAGTTTACGGCCTTGGGAGATCCTTGGCCGTAAACTCTCATTCATCCATTGATTCCTGATGTTTCTAAGGCCTAAACATGTTAGACCTAATGTACAACGAGTTAGAACAAGAGTACTTGTGATCTAGGGGCTTGAATGGTCGGTTTTGACCAAGAACGCTAGTGTGTGTTCTTGGTGTTCTTGGTGAAACTTGAAGATCTACACAAATGGAATGATTTCACGGATGAAATCATGTAAGATCACTAGATCAAGTAAGATATCAACTAGTTAGGACAAGAAACTTACGAGTTTTGAAGATCGGGGACGAAGATCAGGGTGATAGTTGAGAGGATTTCAGTCAAGGGAAAGGAAGGAATGAACAAATAGCCAACATTTCACCATATAAGGTGAGTTTACGGACCACATTGAGTTTACGGCCGTAAACTCCATTGTGGTGGCCGTGAACTCATGGTTAATGTGTTTTAGGCTTGTTCTTTGTGCTATAGCTTCAGCAGATAAACCCCAACACTTATCCCTTAAGTGTACAAGGCTCAGAACATTTAAACAGGTTCCAAATTGTGCTAAAAGTTAGCAGGAATGAGTTTGACTTTCAATGAAGTGTTTGACTGTACAGGATAGAAAATTTCGGGTTGTCACAGACATTTATCCCATCATTGAATCCAACCAGATAGATATCGAGTATCAATTATATTCTATTATATAATTCTTAGTTTTATGAGATCGCTAATACCAAAATTTAACAGACATGTTTGATCTCATTTATGCCTCAAATCTCTATTGCTTAGGTGACCTTTATCACGACAGATTACCGATCAAATCATCTAGGTTGAAGAACTTATGTTTTCAGCCTATTACTAGGTTATAGAAATCGCGAATACACATCGGCCATCAAAAGGTAACACATAGTCGTTAGGTGACCTTTATCCTATTAGTGTATATAAGAGATGTCTGAGTGCAATTCAAATAGGATTTAATAGAGTTGAGCTTAATAAGGGGTCTTTGATGTTTTTATAATTATAGTTTAAAAAACATATTATATCATGGTTATTTCATACATCCAATAAGTCACGATATACTTCTATTTAAAATCACATTTCAACAATGTTCTTTTATAACATCCAAATTTTATATAAACGGCACGATCAAATTCTAAATTTAATAACTAGTATTAAGTTTTGACGTTTAAGCACTAAAGAAAATTTATTAACCTTTTAATAAAAGTTCCTTTTATGAAATAAGGTTTGAAGTTTGATAAGTCTCTAAAACCTCAAGTTTAAACTTATATAATTTTAACTAGATGAGGAGCCTCGCGTTGCGGGGTTGGATCTAAACAGATCTGATCGTTTTCGGCGTCTGGTGCTTGTTAAATTTTATGTTCTTCCATATTCAAGTGATAATGTAATTTACTAAACTAACTTAGAAGTTGACAATGTTCTCCTTCGGTTCAACATGAACATACTTTAACTGTAAGGGTCAAATTGTCAAATATATGTGTCTTCTAAATTAAATCCAGCAACAATTTCATGTTGGGACTGATAATCCATAAGTTTACTTGGATTCTGTGACCTTTCAGCTTCCCGTGTTCTAACGAATCTTCAACCAACTATAAATTATTCAAAATTAAAACTTTTAATTTCATACATACAATGTGAAAATAACGCGATATTTATTCAGGAGTCGGGAGAACTTAATAGTTTTGCTTTCTCCTTTAATAATCAAAGATTTCAAATGTCACATAACATGGTATGGGACAAAAACGATCGAAATATTGAAGTACCGAAATGGAGAAGCCACCGATTTCATAATTCCACAAATCAACCTATTGTAGTTGGTTGCTATGGGTAGAGCAAATATTAGGTGCCATGTAGTTGGTTGCCACCTAAATCACTGAAAGTCAGTTGCAAATAATCAGATATCAGCATGTCAAAACATGATAATAGAAAACAAAAAATTGACTGAATCATTGCTCACACATTTTGTAATTGAGGGATGTTGAAAAGGTAAACAGGCAGAACTCTTACAAGATTTGTATTGGATATGCTAACGGAAAAGAATAAAAACATGTAAATAATGACCCATTGGAATTTTTAAGAAAAATTATAAATGGATTTCAAATGTATGTTATTTTCCAGGTCTGCCGAAAATGCCTTTACTAAAAAAATTACACAATGATAACAGACTTTTGATGAAATTGTATGTACTTAACCTCTCTCACAATGCAACACCACCACATCTACCACTGCCGCCTCCTGCATTGGGGGCCTTCTTTGAAACTGAAGCCCTTGCATCCACTTGTACTTGAATTCCTACATTCATAATAAACACATGTAAACAACTCAACAATAGATTTATCTGCATCCAGTAACTGTAGAAGAAGAATCTTACCTTTTGAAGTGAGGCTTGCAATGTATGCTTTAGACTTTTCCTCCTCAGCCTCACCTTCTGATTTTATTTATAAATCACAGCAAAATTAAACTATGGTAAACAAAACAAATGCGAAAAAAAATTAATAATACCAATATCCTCAACAGCCTCATGTGTATTTCTTTCTGTTTACTGGTTAGTTAGATTCTACACTACATAATACTCGGTAGCTAAAAGCCTAAAATATAATAAGAAGGACTGAAAGAAGGATTACAACCTTTTGATTCTTTAAGAACATAACATCTTGCTTGATTCTCCCAATGAAACTTGGATTCGCCTAAATGTAAATTTTTGCAAAGACATAAACCGGTGTTTCACACATAATCACCAATAAAAATCCAAAAGAAAAAAAAGGGAAGATGTATTCACCTGCCTCATTAGATAAAGACGAACATAGCAACTGGTCCAGGCTGCTGATTCCACTCGGTTGTAGCCACAACACTCTTAACCACAGGTGCCTAATTGATTTCCAATGCAAGTAATATACCATAGTAAATATTTTGTAACTCTTGATCTGTTTAACCATTCAACCTTATGTACACGACTCTAAGTCTTTAACAAAACAGCGCTATAAGTTTTACAAATATCTCATAATTACAGTTTTAATAAGGCTGTTTTATATATTTTGTAAAGATAAATGTCACAATGATGGTAGCTTAATGCCTAAACTTACCTCTAAAATGATGACACCATGATAATCGAAACAGATCCATGATGAAATCAGAACAGAAATTCTTGTGGAACACCCATTTGCAGATAATACCTTCAAATCCAAAATGAAACCCAAGTTCAAATCAGGTAAAAACTTTGTTGTACTGAAAGCCACATTCGTATCCTCATTCAAGTTGTGATCAGAATCAAATGAAATTATTAGTAACTGAGATTAACAAAAATTTCATTGATTGCATAAAAGAGATACAGAGTGTTTAAAGTAGTCATATGCATGATGTTCGTATGACATGTAAGGGATCATAATGAGTTCCTAGCTAGCCCTAGAAACTTCAAATCATATCAAATTAAAGCACAATCAGAGTAACAATTGGAAACCTAGCTCCATAATCGCATATAAAATATGGACATAATATAGCCAATGAAAAAACTAATGCGAAAATCCCCAAAAATATAAACATACAGATAATATGAACTGAGATTAATGGCAATTGTATACCTAATCATAGATTACGAAACATTTTCCCCCAAAAAAAAGCTAAAAATGTCAGATTTACAGGTATTAAATTAAAGATTAAAGATACCATCCAAAAGGAGGACTGACCTTGCTTAAATCAACGAATAGTTCAAATCGGTTCTGATTTTACGAACATACACACTCACAAAATGAGTTTAAATCAACGAATAGTTCAAATCGGTTACATACCTGGAACAATAACCCGTAAATCGATGCTTTCGGATCGATGGGAAATTAAAGCCGAGAAGTAGATGAAGCGGAGGAGATGACCTAAAGGAGCGGAATCGAGAAATCGAAGCAGATCTTTGCCATTTGCGTTCATGAGAGGTCGGAGGTGCATATTAGCGAAAGCAGGCGATGGTGGATATAACAGAAAATGGGTCACCGTCCGGATTTAAGGTGAGAGAGAGAGAGAGAGAGAGAGAGAGAAGAGAGAGAGAGAGAGAGACAGGAGAAGAGCATGGGAACATAATCGGTGAGAGGCGGTGGAACTGGAGGGTGATCGTCTCCAAAAGACTGAAACAAATAGAAGGCGGTGGAAGCAAGCGTATGTGATTGGGCGAGGGAGGCGGTGAGTAAACGTGGATGTACGGTTACCATGGTTGAGGAAGTGAACCTGAGGTACAGTACCTTGGTTAGATACTGTTCCTAACAATTGTCCAACTTTAATATGTATATAAATTCCAAAATTTACCATTAGCTAGTTTTTAAACGATAAAACTCATTTTATTTTTAAAATTATTTTATCAATTTATGTTAAAATAAAATTTTCATTAAAACCAAATTCTTTGTGATGTTATTTATATTCAAAATATTATTTTGCATGTGATATCTGAATTTAACAATTATAACATAATATCAACATATAAATAAACAACACAAAGCATGTAAAATATATGTGCATAAATCAACCATAAACTATTGACATTTTGTGAGAAATCAAAAAAATGTCAAGTCCATTCATATGGGACATTAAGGGACCAAAACTTCTTGTAATGTCTTCATGTTGTCATTTGCTTCAACACCTTGTAGCAAGTTTATTAAATGTAAATGTATAAAGTTTATAAAACTTTAATAAAATTAAGTTTATAAACATTTGATCTTCGAAATGGTCACCATCTTCATTCTTGTTATATTTTTATAAAAATAAACTATTTATAAAACTAATCTATTACTTAGATAAATAAAGAAAATGAAAACTATTTATTTAATTATTACATATCATATAAATAAATAAATATTACAACCATTTTAACAAATCAACACAAAACACATCACAACAGGTCCATGACAAGTTTATATATATATAATATATAATATATATATATATATATATATATATATATATATATATATATATACACACACACACTCAAAATTATATAAAACAATACATTGATTTTATAAGACGACTTTTGGTGAAAAAAATACATGTAAACTTTTGTCACTAAAAGTAACAATTATAGAGTTGTCACATAAAATATGTATGATTTTATTACAAAAAAAATCATCTGTGCTTTCCAAAAACAAAGATTATACCAAATAATCTAATAATCTCACCAAGCTTTCAAAAATGGCTCTGATACTAATTGTTGGGTTATATTCAAATTCGTTTTCCCAAAAACGCTAAAAACAAAAACATGAGCTTTAAAAATAGAATAAAATTAATACTCTTTTTAACCCATTAATGATCATTTTACAAAGCATGGAAAGATTAACAACAACCATAGAAGGAAAAAATGTTACAACCTTTGAGGACTTTGATTCCTCTCGGGAGGTTGGAAGTTTATGAAGATGGCAAAAGATTCAAAATAAAGCTTCTCTTGAAGTATCTACCAAGAAAGAGTAAACCACTTTAAGATGCTAGTCTTTAATTTTATTAAGTCGTTCTTAGGCCATTAAAACATATACAAAATAATTCTTAAGGAGAAGCAACTAATATGAACTTCATTCATTCACCAAATTGCAAGAAAGAAGAGAGAGAAAATGGGCTGGAAAGCCATGAAATTGGCATCCCTTAAGAGAGAAAAAGAGAATTGAAAAACTATTTTTTATTTCTTCATCCCACGTATCCTTTGTATAGAGAATACATAAATAAAGGTCCATGCCTTATTTAATGTGAAAGTCATATTTTGTAAGAGTGTAAGGAGTGAAAGAAGAAGTCAAACACTCAAACCCCCCCCCCCCAAAACACACACACACACAATCCCTCTTGTCATTTCTTGCCTTCATGAGTCCAAGTGGGGTCCTAGAGTGTCTTTCACTTAAGGTACAACTAGCTAGTTACATGACTAACTAAATGGTTACTCAAAGTGCCCATTTAATTTGTACACAACATATATATTCATACCTTATGAATATAACTAGTTCTTGTTCTCTTTTATTATCATTTCCTAGAAATAATAATTTCTCAATTAGCTGTTAAAAATATTATTTTCTTAAAATAATAATTCTCTAATTAAATACAAGTGTTGATTATATTTGTTACTAATCAAAATTTCTCTAATAAATAATCAATTAATAGTAACTTTCTATAAGATGTGACCTTATAGGATTATATGTTATTAGCAAATACCATTCTAGAATGACTATTGTGTATCAAGATCTTTCTATATATATATATATAATATAATATATATATCTATATATTATATTCTATATATATAATATATATATATATATATATCTTATCTTAATCGATTAGCTTCAAATGCTGATTTAAGAGGTACAAACCAAATATACAATACTTTTATGCAATGTTTTGACCTATAACACCCTATTCGCCCACAATCTCCCATGAAAATGCTAAAATTAACCACGTTTTGACCCATGTCTTCTTATCTTATCTTGACCTGGTCTTTCTTCTACATTTAAATTCTCTAAATCATATCATATTTAGTCAAAAAATTCGTATCACAAGAACGCTTCATAAGGAATATAGTTACATTCAACTTGAATAAAAAATTTCCAAACATCTCGGCCCCCATCGGCCCCATCTCTTTATATGATGATTAACTTTGTCCATCTCTAAAATTTCTCTCTAGAAACCCTAAAACCCAACACATAGATGCCGACGTCACCATCCTTATCAACAAATTATCTTAACCCTCTCTTCCTCAATCACCACAGGCTACCAGAAATAGATCAAGGTTCTTCCATTAACACCCACCAGTGGAAGATGTAGACGAGGGCCACCGTTGCTAAACCGTCAATAACCATCTCTCTCTCTCTCTATCTATCTCTTTCTCCATCTCTCTCTCTACGCATAAACACAGACCACCGTCACTCATGCTCTCTATTATGTTTTGATCGATTGCAGGTTAGGTTTATCTCATACATCTTTAAAAATTTTAGGTTACAGGTGCTTTGAATGTTTGTATTTCATGGCATATGAATTTGTATGTTCACTCTTTAAATGTCATTTTCATGTAGGATCCAGTGAAAAGATGAAATATCCCCAACTAATAAATCATGTTTGTATGCTTCACATAAGAGGACTATTGGTGTGTTCTTTTTAAGTTTGTTTTTATATTTTTCGAAATTGTGGTTTTCTTCAATACTAATTGGTCTATTTACACTTCATAGACGAAGGTCACGAAGCAAGATGGCTGCCTGGAGTTCTTGTTCTTTCATCTCCCGCTTCATGTAACACCCAAATTTTTAAAACAATTTTTCACATTTTATAAAACACGTTTTCATTCATAATCGTTATAAAAACACCATTGTATCACATAACATCATATCCCAAGATCATAATTTTCAAAATCGTTATCTCCCCGCGTGTGTACTGATCAAGCCGGCGCCTTCCCGCGATCCTCGCTGGTACCTGAGACACATAACACAACACTGTAAGCATAAATGCCTAGTGAGTTCCCCAAAATACCACACATAACACATATTAGCCACTCGAGGCTATAACTCTGTTTGACACTCTGGTCAAAGTGTCTCTGTGGGACCCCCCCCCCCCCAGTCCCATAACTCTGTGGGCCCTCTGGCCCTAACTCTATGGGTCCTCTGACCCTAACTCTGTGGACCTTCCGGTCCTAACTCTGAAAACTCTGTAACATACATAGCATATAACACATAGAAATCACATCATGCAAAAGCATACACAATACTCTGTCTCATAATTCTAATTACCACTCTAGGTAAAGTATAGTGAGAAGACTCACCTCGGGTAACTCGGTAAAGCTCGAACTCTGTAAAGTCGGGTCTAGCCTCCGCCTAATCATATGAAATAAACACTCTGAATCAATACATCTCTCAAGGCTAGACTATTCCTCCTCTTAGTACTCTCAAAGGGTAAAAGACCATTTTACCCTCTCATGGCTCAAAGACCCTAAAGTTGACCAAACCCTAAAAGTCAATAAAAGTCAACGGTCAAACTTTTGACCCGACTCGCCGAGTGCACAAATGTGACTCGGCGAGTTCAGTCGTGAACTCGAGTCCTCTATTCCCCCTCTGACTCACTGAGTCATTCCTCCAACTCGGCAAGTCACTCACTGAGTGATTCACGGGAAACCCTAACCCTACTCGCCGAGTCTGCCCTTGGACTCGGCGAGTTCATGTCATGCACCAACTCAAATGACCTCCTGAGGTCAGATCTGTTCCTCTAATCCATAGATCTGGCCTTCCCAACCACTATAATCACGTAAAGTCTCGATCTTGATGCACAAGCAACATTTATATGACCATATATGATGATTTAGCCCCAAATACCTTAACCCAAGGCCATGACCTCTATTGTTCTTCATAAAGCTTGATGAATAAGGCTCTCTGGACCTCTATGGATCCAGATCCAAAGCCTTATCACCAGAAGGGGCTATTTGGACATCAAATCTAACCAACAAAGGGTCTAAGAAACCCTAAATCCATATGATCATCATAAGAACAGAAGGAGAGTCGAATTACTACCTCAAATGTGAAGATCTTAGCTCCAAATCCACAGAATAGCAACCTCCTATGCTTCCTCTTGGCTAGTACCTCCTTCTTCTTGCTAAACAACACTTCCAAGGTCAAGAATGGCTTCCTTTCTCTCTCTCAAAACGCTCAAGCACTCTAGGGTTTCTCTCTATGGTCTGGTAGCCGCCATTGAAGGCCATAAGGGCCTTTAAATAGGTCCCAAACCCAAGAAATTAGGGTTTCATTAAACAGCGTGGACTCGCCGAGTCCACGTATGGACTCGCCGAGTCCGGTCATTAACCCGGATGGAGATTCGCGACTCTACTCGGCGAGTCTGAGCGCCTACTCGCCGAGTCTCTCTCCAAAACTCAATAAAAATACATAATTTAAGATACTGGGAATCCGGATGTTACAATTCTCCCCCACTAGAATCAGACTTCGCCCTCGAAGTCTCACTCCACAAATAACTCTGGATACTGCTCGCGCATCTCTAACTCCGGCTC